CTTGAATAAGACGCCCTTCAATTTTTAGCGTAAGGATTTTAGAAAAAAGTATCGTCTTATAATTGGAAAAATACAGTAATCTAAACCACTGCTCAGGCCTAGCCTCCATCATAATCTTTAATACCAACACTATTTTGGATCCCAAGGGGCCTGAAAAGCTTCCTTAGAAAATAAAAATGATAAACATCTGCAACCCAGCAGTTGGAAGTGCTTAGGAAAAGGTCAAAGGTAAGCAGAGGTGGAATGAAACATTCTGTGAGAGCAGAACTACAGGGCAGATAGGTAGCATTCTGTTAAATTAGTGCTTTCTAGCTGTCTGTGTCTCTCATGGCAGTCATTTTGTGAATGGGCAAGCTCCCCCAATATCAGTTGTTTCATGAAAGCATCCGTGACATATTTGTAAAATTCCAGATCTGACCACTAGGGCTCTGGTTACATTGCATCTGTTCTTTCTTCAGTAACATCTAAAAGAAATGTGACAGTCTTACACAGAGAATCCCCTCACTTAACTACAGGTTGTCCTTGCTTACTGACCATTCATTCAGCAACCGTTCTAAGTTACAACAGCACTGAAAAAAGAGACTTACGACCAGTCCTCGAAGTTCCAGCTGTACGCACCCTTGTGATCATGTGATTGCAATCTGGACGTTTGGCAACCAGCTCACATTTATACAATGGTTGCAGCATCCCGCAGTCACATGAACATCATTTTCAACCTCCCCTGCCAGCTTCCCACAAGCAAAGTCAATGGGGAAGCTGGCAGAGAAGGTTGCAAGTCACTCCGCTAAGTTGCTTGCACCCTTCTGTGCCTGGCAGCAGGCACCCCTGGTCCTGCCCTGCTCACGCCTCACAGGCCACTTGCACACCCTTCCCCTTCCAGCAGCAGCCACTCACACTGTACCTCACAGGCCACTCGCACACACTCCCTCACCCAGCAGCAGCCAGCCCTGCCACACCTGCACCACACACCATGCCTTACCCACCTGCCAGCCTGCTTGCAAGCTACCCGGGACTTGGTTAATGACCCATGATCCTCGTTTAATGATGGGAGTGGGGAGTGTCGGGATTGCTGTTGCTAAGCGATGCAGTCATGTGACATCGTGCTTTATGACCACGTCGCTTAGCGATGGAAATTCCAGTCCCAGTTACCATTGTTAACTGAGAACTACCTGTAATGGAGGGAGGGCAGAGAAATGCATAATGCAGTGATGTCACATCAGTTATAGTTTGTGCTAGGCTTTATAAGGAAAAGAGAGAATGGTCACAGTTCACTATCTCTTGTGATGTTTAATTTGGCTCTTTAGATCAGGAAAAAATTGTTAACTGATGAAGATGTGCACGCCCTTGTGGTGGAGGTGACAGCGCCACTGTTTCCGTCTAAAACTCAGAGACTTGTAGCACCTTTACTCTTAGGCAGGAGTCTAACACCAGTGAGTTAGGCAGGATGTCAAACATCAATTCAGCAAATTTTTCTAGAAATTATGATATCTGAACTGTATTATAAATCCTTTGTTATCCGGCGAAGTGCCTAGATTGTCTCCTGTTCTCCCACATAAGCTGTCCCATATTTGGTTATCCCAAATGTCAGCTACTCTCCAGCTACTCTGCCTTCCGAGGAAAGAAAGCATTGCCCTAAGACAGGAGTCGGGAACCTTTTTGTCTGAGAGCCATGAACGCCACATATTTTAAAATGTAATTTCATGAGAGCCATACAATATGTTTAAAACTAAATACAGTAGCTGGTGGGATGGACCCTTACAGGCCGTCAAGGAGGTTAGGCCCAAGCCAGGGGCTCGATTTGCGGCTGCCTGTGGAGGGCGATGCGGCTCCGGGCCCGTTCGGCCGCGGATGCTGCGGGGCAAGGTAGGGTGAGTCCCAAGGATGCCGGA